TATATATATATATATACTTGTGAAGCAGTAAACAACGATTCGAATAGGAAATGGCATTTCAGTTCAAAGTTCAGAACAGGATAAAAGGAGATCCCTCCATTACTCTGGGGCTTATGAATACCCAAAACAAAAAATTCCAAATATTTCGGAATTACAATTTGCAATGTGTTCTCAAATTATCCAGATCAGAAATAACTGAAGAAACACTCTCCATGTCTTTATTCTTAAAGGCACCTCGAAGAAAACCTGTCATTCCAAGGTCAAACTTGTTAGCAACTCCCCACACCCAAAACCGCAATGGAAGTTTTCTCGATGGCTAACAATTTTGATGCACAACAACTTTCACACATTTTTTTTTCCCCTGAACATCGTGAGAGAATAAAAGAAAATTGTTGCACCCAAACCTGATTAGACGTTCCTAATTGGGTTGCACTCTTCAACAAAATAAATAAATGTCTGGGGCTTTAAACTCATGGCCAGGCATCCGGAGAGACTCTTTCACTGATTGTAGAACCAAACTGCGGACCACCCTTGCGATAGCAGGCAAGAAACTCAATAGGGTATCCCTTCAGCTTATGCGGCATTATTTCAAGATCATTGAAAGTCAAAGCTGCATCCCACCATGTGTATTAAAAAAATGGAAAAAGAAATCAAGCATGGAGGGAAAACATAAAAATAAAAAACATGAGAAGAAATAATGAAACCATCACGGTAACTTATTGCCATTACCATTTTCTGACACGACTGTATCTGTAGTTTGGGCAAGGATCTGATCTAAGTTGAAAATGTCAGGCTTGGGTAATGGGAAAGGAACCTTGTTAAGCAATATTTCTCGTGGTGTAGCAATGGCCTGAAATCATTCACAAACCACAAGAGTAATAAGCCTACCTTGACTACTGCTGAGACTGGAGAACATAGCACATACGTGGAATGTACTCATCACACACCCATGGTGGTCCCAATCTTTTAATGGAAAAACTTTGTTCTATATGTACCTTTGCAATAGGAAAAGGAACTTTTAGGTAGCGAGGCCACTCACGGATCGTCTCGTACATGAGCTCTGCCTGTATTGCATTCAGGACTGAGTCAACTAATCCCCCTAAAAGAAAAATAGATACAAAAGGAAAAGGACGAGAAATTACCAATTCATGCACTGTAAAGACCTCTGGCCCACCAAGTTCATAAATTTTTCCCATGCTGGTGCCATCATCTTTCAGAGCAGCCACAATTGCAGCAGCAACGTCAACAACATAAACAGGTTGGATTCTATGTAATGGGTTTAAAAAAAAAAAAAACCATATAAGAAAAATGGTGTTCAAGCATATCAAGTCGTAATTAGCATGGCTAACACACAAAAATTGGAAATGCCGGTACTGACTTTCAGCTATTAGTTGTTAGATTAAGTACATACTTGGTAGATCCATCCCCAATGAGTGGAAGAAAGCTATACTTTTTAGCAATTTGTGCCCACCGATTCATAATACGATCCTCTGTACCAATCATTATGGCTGGTTTCATAATTGTGGCCTGTTAAAGAAGGAAAATATTAGAAACTGGCTCTTGAACGAAAGCAACTCTGTTGAAATCAAATATTCCGTCAGCAAAGACTCCACGTTCTCGATCATTTTTGCATTTGTCGAGGACAAGTCTATGAGTATATTTGAATTAGGATTCTAAATGCATACGGTATAAGATCGACAGGAAATATATGATCAGTTATGGCCACATAAAACAGATAAATCCACCTCAGGCAATTCTCGCAATACAGCTTCTTCTGCAGCAGCTTTAGCTTTTAGCATTCTGGACGGGGATGATGCAGATGCCCCTAAACAAGAAACTTGGATATATCTGATGATACCACCATGTTCTTTAGCAATCTGCAGATGTTTAAAAAAACTGGTAACATGGATCATAGAACTATAAGGAGATATTTTTACCTTCTTCTTAGGTGGCAACAAACTGGTCAACTTGGCTCTAATAAAAACCATATCAATACACACAAACAAAGACAACAAGGCACAATCACAAGACATTGACTTCAGCATGGAGGGACATAGACAATATGAGCATTCAGATGACAAAGTATGTCATAAAAAGAACATAAAATGTCAAAACTCGAAGTTTTTTCCCTTCTTAGTAAGCATGACAGTTTTGAGAAGGGAGAAAGTTTCTTCAAATAAACGGAGGGAAAGTTTCTCAAATAAATCAAGGAACCTACCGTTGCAAGTTGTTCAGCCATAAAATGGTTTGCTACCTCAAAGCTGTAGTTCCTTGTTTCGTATTCCCGTCCTGCCAAAAGATATAATTGCTGAGCATGATTTTATTTGTGCACGCTAGAAAACTAAAGATTTCATAAACACAAAATCAGACGAGAAATAAGCATACCAATAAGGTTGACAACTACGTTAGCCTTTGCCATTACGGCTTTAATTGAAGCCTCATCTCTTGGATTGTATTTCATTGGCACTATCTGAGTGAAAAAATCATGAGTAGATCAGTGGCATAGCAGATTGAAGCAGGCGAATGTTAGTAGATATTATAATGGAAAACAAATTCCAGTCATATACAAATAACTGTCCAATGAAAGGATACATCCTCAATAATTACTCAACCTGTCCCAAATCACCCATCAGCTTGAGATGACGATGGGAATCTTCACAACCCCGGAAAGGAACTAAAACTTGAGATCCCATCTTAGCTGGAAGAGAAAGAAACAATTAGAACAAATATATATGAAAAAATATTTAAACTTCTGTATACCAAGTTAACAAGTGTTCCAAATCAAATGCACGCTTAAGGTCCACAGAATATCAAAGAAAAGAAATAAGACCAAGACTCAGTTTACCAAGTTGTTGTACAACATAACGACCAAGGAATCCAGTAGCTCCAAAGACGGTAGCGACTATGCCACTGTAAAGGGGACAAAATAATTACATTCCAGACAATGAATCCAAAACAATAATGGGAAACGTTTCTGTTCCAAAAAACTTATAACTTGTAGCAAAATAATATCAGGTAATGACGCGTAAGGGTTAAGCAAATTGTCTAGAAGACTAGAACTGATGCAATTGCGGGAATTCGCGTTCCGTACATGACTTCGTAGTTTTTTTCTTAAGAAATAGCATGCAAAAAGCGTTTAAGCATTGATAATAACTTTATTTACTCACATTAAGTTCATATTTATCGCCTCTCAATCCCAAACAATGCAAAAACCATTTCCTTGTCCTACATTCTCTCAATTCCGAGCAACCAAACACGGGATTGTAAATAATCAACTTCAGAATTACCTAACAGATGATCTTCCACCCGTCCCCTTCCGAACGAGGTGTCCGAGCCCCTTGGTGGCGAGCGTAGATCCGCACCTTGGATGATCAGCTCCATAATCTGAAGAAATTAATCCCAAACACAAAAAGGTTAAGCAAAATTTACCACAATAATCAGTAAGAATTGCAAGCATAAACCCTAGAAACAAAGAGGAAATGAGAATTTACAGGAATCAAAGAGAGGGTGGATGGACTTGAGCGCTGAGATTGAAGGTGAGGGACTCAGAGATTGATGGCCTAGACGCCTCGCAACGGCCTGCATCGTGCTCTGGTACACTTGCACAGAGGAGGGGAGAGAGAGAGAGAGCTAGAGAGAGAGGAAGAGAGGAGAGAGAGAGAGAAAGAGAGAGAGCTATGAGATTAAGGGCCGAGTGTGGAGAACACGGGGTTCGTTGGGCACTGGGCTTTGGATCGTAGCCCAGTTTGGGGATCACACTTAGTGGCCTTTGAATAATTTTGATGGGCCTCAACTATTAGGCTTACGATGCAAGTCGAATAATATTAAAAAATAAATCTCCTTCATGCTTAGATCTTTTATGAAACTAAAATCTGAATTTATGTGAAAGTCATTCAAATCTACTGAAATTGAGAGAATGTTTCCCCACTTTAAATTATCTGATAAAAGAATATTAAAAACTTTTTTTAAATTGCATTTCATCTCTGAGAGTTTGAACGTGATAATAACTGGAAATGTGAAAGTAATATTCCCTTCTTTACGTAAATGTGACGACATTAAGCTACGGTAGGCCTTAAAAATTGCTCAGAATTGGAGCATAAGTCTATCCGCTCTTTTTTTTTGTTTTTGCGTCTTTCGGTTTAAACATCGACGAAGGCAACTAACGTCAACTTTTTAAGTCCCGTTCAATTCATCGATTTGAGTTTTATTATAATAAAAAATTCTCATAAACGGTCACATTTAACTTTTTTACTACAGTAAAAAGTTCTTACATAAACTCACATTTCAACTCGAATCAGCGAACTAAACATGCCTTAAATTTATTTTTTTAACACGTATATATCGATAGGTATATTTTTAGAGAATTAGATTAGATATAGCCCCTCTAAAAAACTGAAATATAATCTTTAGACCTCCAAAACTTTTTTAAAAAAAATATTACTTTCTAAAAAAATACCTCTAAGAATAATACTTTTTTAAAAAATACTGTTAATCTCAACTTTAAAAGCCTTTTATAACTAACAAAGAATAAATAATACATTCATTAATCTATAAGTTTATCTACTTTTAAACTTAGTATTAACTCTACGCTTGTGTAACCTTAGTATTAACTGTGCTTCTTGTTATCATGTATATAGAGAGTGTATTTTTTACTATGAATACTGTGAAGAATTGACAACGTAATCGAATTAAAGATCAATTGGTTAAAAATACTTTATTTATGTACATCGAAAAAATCTTCAATAACCGTGATAGTGTGATTATTATGTAATATTTTTTAAGACATGAAATCTCGTTTTGGACAATTTATTGTAACTTAACAATAAATTTTTGATGTAGTTAAAATTAGCTCCTCCCAAAAAAAAAGAAAAATCATGGCTTTGGGTTTAAGAGCAAATTCTGTATTCATATAAATGTCACAAATGAAAAGTATGTTCCCTAGTTTTATACTAGAAGCGCACGCATAATACATGTAGATATGTTCGTATTCATGGGCACTATAATAATAATTTGGTGGTTCAAAAGATAGAACTAAGCAGCGTTTTTTCCTCTTTGCAAATAATTGACAATGGCAAAGATAGTCATTGCTACGAAATTTTCCCAGTGAAAACTGCAGAATTTCATTAAAGTTAGAGATAGCTCTCTTTACAAGGAAGCTTTTGATGGAGTCTTATTCCATGCTAAGAAGATATGAGAAGAAGCGAGAGACAGAAAAAGGGCCTAAGAAGAACCAAAAATGTAAAATTTATAAGTCTAGCAAAGAGCCTAAAACTGTACTACTTGCCACTAAAAACTTCAAAACAAAAGGTTTTTTTAAGTTTTGACTAATCCAGCTCTACAAATTCCCCTAACTGAATAAGAAGGAAGAACCTCTTGCTTCAACCTAAACGCTACATTATTGACATCACTAACCACAAAATCTGCAGCCCATTTCTTCTCTCTCGTGTTATTCTTGCCTCCACCATCTTATTATTTCCCTGTTATAACGTATGCAGACCTTGAACAAATTTCGAAGTTTCTCCTCGGGATGAATCATCCCTCTCACTTTGGATGTAGAAACTATATAATTCTTCAAAAGGGTTTTGGTCATAAAACAGCGCCTGCACCTCTGTCCTTCCTGTTAGTCTTTTGATTTATGAGATGCAGCAGCACCAGATGCCGCGGCTGATGTAGGATGGTTTTCTTCTCTAGCCCCGCCTTCCGATTTTTGGCTGTGGCATGCCATGTAATCTAAAAATCTGGTATGCCACTCGACCTCGATGAATACTCGGTTACCAATTTTAGGAACATTGATGATTTATCCTCTAGTAGTCGTGCAGGAGTGTCAAACTCTGCAACTCGACCTGCAAAAGTATTGAAGATCAAGTTCCATTAGCACTTGATAGACCTACATGAACTAAAAATAGTAGCAAGAAAACCAAAGTGAATCCATGGGCAATTTGATAATTGGATGTTTACAATGCTCTACTATAGAACTGCATGCTTGAGGTAGCAAGTCTAGAAAAGATACTCACCATCACTGAGCACCAGAACGAGATCACTGTCGATGACAGTTGGAATACGATGTGCGATAGTGCACACTGTACAATCCTTGAACTCTGTTCGAATAATTTTCTGGATCAAATTGTCTGTGGCCGTGTCAACTGATGCTGTTGCTTCATCAAGCACCAATATCCTTGCCTGTTTAAGCAGTGCACGGCCCAAGGAAACAAGTTGCCTCTGCCCAACACTCCAATTATCTCCATTTTCAAGCACTGCAAATTTAACATTCACAACCAACAGACAATTAACCACTCACAAATCAAAACACTTTCTTGGAGAGCCCCAGAGTAATAGACAGACTAAAATGAAAATGCCAACCTGGTGTATCGAGTTTTTGCTCTTTCTCACGGATTACGTCGCCAAGCTGAGCCTTGTCGAGTGCCTGTACCAAATTAAAAATCACAAGGCTTGAATATCCAAGTACAGATATCAGACTTTAATAAATACTAAGAACTTTTCTCATACTGCGAATAGAGGGAAAATGAAAATAACAATAATGGGGTATTAGTTGCAAACCTGCCATATTTCATAATCGGAATGCTCTTCAAGGGGATCCAGATTGCCTCGGATAGTCCCTTCAAATAAGGTAGGATCCTGGGGTATGATGCTTAGACGACTACGAAGGTCATGAAGCCCGATTGACGAAATATCAATACTGTCTATTAAGATCTTCCCACCTGCTGGTTCAATTAACCGAAATAATGCCTGTATCAATGTAGATTTACCACTTCCAGTACGTCCAACAATTCCAATATTCTTTCTACCAGGGAAACTGCAGGATACACCATGAAGTACCACAGGAAGATTCTCCTTGTAACGAACCTTCAGTGCACAAGAGAGGGGTTGTCAGCAATTTCCACACCATATTAATCATACCTACACATTAAAAATATAGACGGGCATAACAAGTTAAACAGAGCTGCACACCTTTAGATCAATCAGGTCAATTGTTCCATTCTCTGGCCATGAAGTTGGAGGACGAGAATCCTCAATGACAAGTGGAGCTTCTCCAGGAATTTGGCTGTATTGGTAAATTCTCTCTATTGATATAATTTTGTTTTCAAGCTTGCAAAAGCTAAGTATCCACCGTGACAGTCGTGCATTTAAATTAAGGCCATAAGTAACCGCAAGGCCCGCCATGCCTGCACATAAGAAGAAACAGTTGTTAAAATTGCATAGTATTATAGTATTATCAAACCAATCCTCTACTCAAGCCCTATGACAGGAGAAACTTAAATATGTTCCCTTCAGACGTTAAAATTTTTTCAAGATGGCACAAATTCATACAATCACGCATACATAAGTGGTTCACTGAAATGTAGTAAAAATTTAGCATGGACATTTCATTCAGTTTAAAATGTAAAGAAGCTAGTGCGATAGAGATGCATGCCATAGATGGTCCATTGACATTTACATCTTACAATTTAGTTTAAATGATCTTTGTAACCTTCAAAATGCAGCTGGATCAATTTCATTTAAAGGTAGTTCATTTTACTGTTTGACAATTTTCGAAACTCCATGACCAAACAAATTCCCTAGCACTGTCTAGACAAGATATTAGAAATGGCGGAGTTATGGCTTACTTGGATCAATAGTTCCATGTGGAAAGCTCACGAGCAAAATCATGCAGAAAGCAAATACAAAGGTGGAGAGCAATTCCATGCGAAGGCAGAGCCATTCTATTGCTGCAAGGCTGCAGAAGAATGGGCGAGCAAAACAATCAAGCAGATAAAGGTTCCTCTTCATGAATCTTTTTTCTTGTCCAAAGCCTCTTATTGTGGCTGCTCCAGCAATTGACTCGCCAAAAAGATGAATAACTGGAGATTTCTGGATGCTAACGATGCGAACCAGCTCCCTTGAGGAAGCCATATAGTATTTCTACATTAAGAAATAATCAACAATCAGTGAAAATTCCTTCAACACCTTTCCGCTAAAAACCGAGCACTAAAGTTACTTTTAACTACATGCCAACATACAAAAGTGTTGCAAGAGATGCGAAAATAATCCTTGAAAGTGAGAATAGATAAAAGTACTTAAACAGAAGCAATATTGAGCAACGTCTTTTCCCTTTTTTCTCATCTTTCTCCAAAACAAAAGAGTTCTTATCGCCAATTATGGTATAATATAATTACCTGCATCCACAGGCAAGCAACAGCCATAGGAATTACAAGAAGCAGAACTTGCCAAGTAACTGCTGTCATAACACCAACAATGCCAATTAGTTGTATTGTCGTCGAAGCAAACCCACCAAGTCTAAAAGGAATATCAAGATCCACCACACTTTGATCAATTGATACCTGTAAGGTCAAAAATAATTCAGGAAATTACACATGATGAAGGGAATGGCGTGGAAAGATAGCAAAAGGAAAAGATCATGTTTCCTAGTGACAATAGATAAAAGAACATACACGATTCAAGATTCGTCCAGCAGGAGTGGAGTCAAAGAAAGACATTGGTGCTCGAATCACACTTCTAAGCATCTTCAAAAATAACTTTTGTGCAGCTGCTAGACCAAATGTAGCTACCAGAACAGCCCTAATGAATATAAACCAAGAGCTCCCAAAAGCCAGGGCCATGTAAACACCAATAAGGACCATAGAACTCACTTTAGGTTTGTCCCCTTCTGTTTGGGGATTTGCCCAAGCCATCCACCAATTGCTGGCTATTTGAAGGAACTGAAATAGTGCTTGGGCGATAATTATAAATGGAATCAATAATCCTTTATAGGCCGCAGCCATATACGATAAGTATACCTTCATGCTAACTCTTCCTCTTACTCTCTCTTCTTCCTGAACAAGCTGTTTTTTCCTTGAGCGTTTTGCTTTCTTCTTCTCTTTAATTGCTTTCTGCTCAGCAGCTGATACACCCTCTTGCACTTCCTTTGCTAAATTGTCAATGTTATTTCCATCTGGATGACAATTCCCACCATTTGAAACCGAAGCGTCTGGAAACAAGTTTTCATCTGAATCCTCTGATGAATGATTGGGGATATCCATGGCTTCAATTGCCTCGTGATGAGCAGAGACCAATGTGTTAAAATCAGTTCCTGCCTGTAAAAGATCGTCATATTTGCCTGCCTGTATGATGTGCCCATCTTTAAGTACCTAGGAGATAAAAAAGAGAACTAGAAATGAATATTGAACACTTTTGACTTCAACATCAGGCCACCAAAAAAATGATTCCTAAGACACCAGACATGATATTTTCATAAAACGAAAAAGAAGACGTCTTATTGTAAATGCAAATCATATAGAAATTAGAAACACTTCTAAATGTAGAAAGACACTTCACGTACCAGAATCAGATCAGCAGCAGGCAGAAATTCTACTTGATGAGTAACAAAAACTACAGTTTTATCTGCTAAAGCTGTCATTATGTATTCCTGCATTTGCACACTGAGTATTTTAGCCATTGTGGACTCAAGTAAACTCTAGTATCAATTATACAGACACCAAGTCTGACCTTAAACAAATCTGAGCCTGTGTGCGCATCAACCGCACTAAAGGGATCGTCAAGTAAATAAATGTCAGCATCTTGATAGAGTGCTCTTGCAAGCTGCACCCGTTGCTTTTGGCCGCCACTCAAATTTATACCTCTATCTCCTATTATGGTATGATCTCCATGTGAGAAAAGTTCCAAATCTTTTTTCAATTGACAAGCATGGATAACATTCTTGTACTTGGGTTTCTCCATTGGGCTCCCGAAAAGGATATTTTCTTCTATATTTCCAGACTGTATCCATGCAGACTGGGATACATAGGCAGCACTGCCGCATACTTTTACCTAAAAGGATAGAAACGAGTAAGTAATAACATAAGGATTTCATAAGATCAGATAGGTAGAAAAATGATAACTTACTTCACCAGAGATCTTTGGGATCTCCCCGAGGATACAAGAGAGAAAGCTTGATTTTCCAGAGCCAACCATTCCACAAACAGCCACACGCATTCCTTTCTCTACTTTCATTTGTATTCCTGATAATGTTGGTCTTGGAGAGGTACGATCCCAACTAAATACACCATCTTTAATTTCCACCGCAGTGTTCGTGACACCCTGCGGAAGGGAAATGGTTGCATTTTCCTGTAATTCTTCCTCCTGCAGGAACCCAGAAATGCGATCAAGAGAAACTTTTGTCTGGGCCATCATTGACACCAAATCAGGGAAGTTTCTAAGTGGTTCTTGAAGTATCCTGAAAGTGGCCAGAGCAGAGAGAACACCACCTGCAGTGAGCTGGCCACCCAACAATATGGAAGTACCAAAAGTGACAGCTGAAACAAATATGGGGGAGCTCCAGAAGATGAACGTGATAAAAGCTTGCGAGTAGAGGGCTCTGCGCAGCCACTTGAACTCCACGCCACGCATCTCCTCTAACATCACTCGGTACCTCTCCTCCCAAGCTTGCAACTTGAGAATCCTCATGTTCCTCAGACACTCGGATGTTTTTCTCATCCTTTCGTCCTTGGCAGCCATCAACTTATCTTGATAATCCTCTTGGACTTTCGCCAGAGGAATAGTGACAACAATGGAGATTATGGTCGCAATCAAAGTTGCAACAGAAGCGATACCCACATTCTTGTACAAAATCGCGAGCGCTAAAATGATTTGCATCGGAAGCATCCACATGTCATGGAGATACCAAGAGTAGTCTCCCACCCTCTGCACATCTACCGCCATGTAGTTCACAATCTCTCCACTAGTATGATTTTGCTTAGCCGTGCTCGACAGCCTGAGCCCCTTCCTATACACCATCGCGGTCAGCGCTGATCTCACATGCATACCCAAAATGTCCACTCCGAGATACCATTGCCGGGTTGTTATCGTCTCCACCAGCTTTGCTGCAAAGAAAGTCCCAGCAAGGACGTACCCTTCATGAGGGAAAGTCTCCTTTCCTACCAAGTAATCAACAAAATAGCTGATCATGTACGGTCCAACATAGGAAACAAGAGTGTTCAAGCCAGCAAAGACGGCATTACAAGCAGCCTCCTTCCAAAACGACTTGAGAATCGCCCACGCCAAAGACGGCTGTTTGGACGGATTCTCCGCCTTCAGTTTCTCCCAATTCGAATTCAGGACCTTGTAGTTAGTCTTGGCTCGGTCTTTCGGAGCGAGAAGGGGAATGTCCTTCAGCTCTAGAGGCCTCTTTGCCCCGATCGAAAGAAGAGGGTTTAGCCAGGAGAGAGTAGCCAAGCTAAACAGCCCGGCATCACCATAGGGAGTGACCTTAAGACACCCAGCTTCTTCTTCAAGAAGCAATGGCTCCTGAAGGTCGGAGTCTCTACAAACCTCTATTCCAGAACTACCCCTAAAAGCAATGAAACAAAGAAAAGCTAGAGCTGGGGTTGATGCTAAATTTGCAATGGCATGGGAAAGCTGAATTCTTGATCCTTCTATTAAAAAACCTCTACCGTCAACATACAAAGTGCATACACAAACCACAAATGACAAGAACCACCACACCCTCAAAACCAATGGGAACTTCTCACACACCTTGAATTTGCAATGCAGAGCAGAGAGGCTCAAAACAAACCAAGCCAAGGCCTGGGCTGCAGGCAAACAAATCACAGACCAATCCACACTGTGCCATTCCACAGAGTCTCTCACCAAACCAACCCCATCAAAGCCTAACACCACAACTTGCACAAACAGCACATAGAAACAGCATACGAGGGAGAGTTTGAAGTCGGCGCCGATTCTAACCTCTCGAATTTCTCCGTCGTTCCGCTGAATCGGGCGGGCGGCGGAGGCGGCGGCGGAGGAATCGTCCTTGAGGGGGCGAATTCGGCCGGCGCAGACGAATATCCGGCGGGCGGAGACGACGAAGAGGAAGACGAGGAGGAGAGTGAGGTTGACGCAGATTGAGGCGAGCTCCAAATTGGGCAACTCTTGGATCGTTCGCAGAAGGGCGATACCCATTAGCGAATATCGGCGTTCTCTTGCGGATGATGAAGAAGAAGAAACGGATTGAAGAAAGTAAGTCGGTGGCAGTGAAAACGGTAATGGCGAATTAAGCGATGAAGATGAAGAGAGAGATCAAATCGTTTTACGCGCAAGGGCATTTCACCATCTGGGTTTCGCAGAGGCAATAAACGTGTATTTGGAGAGAGGACCTGCAGACACATTGCACATGAGAACAAAAAGATATTTCTCAACACGGAACTCGAAGAAGAAGAATATATGTGTGTGTGTGTGTGTAAAGAGAGAAAACGAAATCCTCCGCTTCTTCTTCTTCTACTTCTCTCTCTTCGTTATCAAAGAACAGAAGACGACGAAAATCACAAAAAAGAAAAAACAGATGGAAAACTTTGAGAGAAAATTACAAAAAAGAAGAACTGACCTCGAAAAACCGCGCCTGTGATTTACTACGGAGAAACCCAAAAGGGCACTCGACGAGCTACGACTGCCAATTCAAAACCAAAAAAAAAAATCGATAATGACGATGAGAAGTACTATATAACATGAACAAATTAGAGAGAAGAGGAAAAAAAAAGAAAAAAAACAGAGAGAAAAATGTTTGTTGTTCTGTGTTTTTTATAATGTGAGAGTGAAAACGATGAGGAGTTTAACTTGGGTACTAAGTGCAAACCTTTGTAATGTTGTGTGACAGTGCCGTGCCGTGTGACGGGTGTGTGGTGTGTGTGAAGGAGAGAGAAACACTACTGTGGAGGGCAGTCAGATTTTCGTTATTTTGGGGAACGGGGGCACAAGGATGAAAAAGAAAACAGAGATGAGAGGGAGAGGAGAGAGAAACTCCTTTTTAGGTATCAAATTTTAAATTCTAGTTTATGCCAATGCTTCATTTATTGCATATATTATATTCTATTATATATGTAGACAGGTGTTGTGTGGGCAATGTGAAGTGCATTATTATTTATTCGGGTAACTTTAGAATAAAATATTTTGTTCCGTTGGGACAATTTTTTAGTTTCTCGTTCAATTTATTAATTTAAATTAAGATATAATTTTATATAAAAATTTTTAATTATAATAAAAAAATTAAATATAATTTTTTATAAGAGTAATTATAATTTAAATTTAAATTTATAAAATAAATGATATTTTAATTTTTTTAATAATTAAATTAGTATAAAATTGTATTAAAAATTTATAATACGTCGCATAAAATTATTCTTATTATAAATTTAACTGTTAAAAAATTAATTTAAAAATAAAAATAAAGTCCTCAATAATAGAACAAAATAACTTTTTCCTGCAAATATCTCTTATTTATTTTGGAGAGAAAAAAAGAATATTAGTGTAATTATTATAGACGTCCGTTTTCGAACTTTTTAAGAGATCATGATGAGATCTCAGAATGTCTTCTCAAATAATATTTAAAAATAAAATTAATGAATAAATATATGATAGATCATGCGTCGACGTCGTTGTACATGGTTCAATTTTTTTTTTTTTTCCAGAAAAGGAGAAGAAGATAAGGAGAGAAAAAGAAAAAAAAAAAAAGCTTTTAAGCTCTTTTTTTGTTTAAAATATGGGTGGTAATTCATGTCACGTATTATATTCGTGTCATATTTTGATTATTTTTTTTAAAATTTGTAGTCAATATGAATACGATATGTGACACAAAATTTTTTAAAAACCGCAACACGAACACGACATGACTACTTTATAGATTGACACGACACGACACGAAAATAATCTGTAACACAAAATTTACACGAAAATTGTATACTTTTATTTAGTTTTTTACATATTAGAAATAACTTAAAATTCATAACACACTAAAATATAATAACATCTATTGAAATTAAACAAATAATAGTATAAGATTTTGAATGTAGATATCATAATATTACAAGTTTATAATAAAATCAAAAATATGTAATGAAAAATATATGTATTTTTTAATTTTTTACGAGTTTCGTGTCGTGTTCGGGTTATGTGGGTCCAACCCGAAATTAACATGTGTTTTTTGTGTTAATTTTAAATCGATCTAATTCTGACCCAAACCTCTTTTTTCTTGATCTTAACCCGTAAAATTCGTGTCGTTTTCAAATCTTATTGTATTGTGACATATATTGTCGATTCTAGTTCAGAGACATTAATTACAATTTACAATGTGGGTGTGCTTTTATGGAGGTGGTTCTTTACATTGCGGAATGAGTACGATACCATAATATAACCTTTTTCTTTCACCAAAAAGAAAAAATAATAATGTAACCTTATCACGTATTCTTAAAACAACCCATTTTTTATCTTCTTCTTGAAATTTATAGGGTAGGAATTGTACTTTTCATTATCTACAGAAATTATTGTTTTAGTCGCTAATTTAATATTTTAATGTTATGTTTTATAAGTGCACGCATTAAAAGAATAACAATATACATTAGCAGTGAAAAATGATATTTTTTACGGTAGAAAATTCTCTTCTTTTTCCTGTACATGTATTTATTGAATTTACTTTGATCATCCAACGAAATACACATTGACAACGATCAAATAAAAGGAGTAGATTTCAGATGAAATAAATAAATAAATAAAAGGAGTAGGTTTGAATAATAATGATCCTTAAAAACTCTACTTCAATTGTCCATCAAAAAAATTAATGGACACGATTAAAACATGCTGCAAAATTCTTCTAATAAAACGTGTTGCAAAATTATTCGAAGGAAACGTGCATACAATAACTTTTTTTTTTTTTCATATATAATGCGGGATCGAACACGCACTACTTTCTTAAGTCCGAGCTTTAAATCTCACTCCGCTTTATTTATGCGTTTGACCTAATAATCATTTGGCCTACAAAAATAATACTAAGCCCCACGAATCAACTTGCAAAAGTGGCATTTTAAGGGGCGGAAGAAAACCCACCATTGTTGTCCAGAGGGCTTTGGAGAAAATTTGCAGGTGTCGTCTGAATTCTGAAAGGAAAGGACCCAATGCATGGAGGTTCACAAGTGACCAAAAGTCATTTGAGCTGTCCTTTGCGCTGAACATATGTAATCTGCTACCCCACTTATCACGACCACCTACTTTGGATGCATCTTCAGAGATGAAAAAAATGATCAAATCACATGTTTTCTTTTTTCTTTTTTTAATTTTTCTAGTAGGACAGTTCTATTAATAGTGCCGGTTGATGACCATCGAATTTTATTTAAAATATATTAAATTGAAAAAATATATAAAATTAATAATTTTTGATACATCATTAAAAATATTTAAAAAAACTATTTTTTTAATTTATTTTTTCTGGTAAAAGCTCTTTTTTTTTTTCTTGTGTGAAAGTTATAAGCTAAAGATAATCATCATTTTTTTTGGTTGACATTTATTTTCACGTCCTAGGATGAGAATGAAAAATGTGGCTGTGATGTCGGGCTTTTTCCTTTTTTGCAATAATTTTTTCAGATTTTTTTTTTTTTTTTCTCTTTTGGGTCCCTATATATTGTGGTCCACCACCACCACTGAATTCTATAGCGAGATGGACAACACTTGGCGTTTAGTCCCCAGACGTACAGAGCGGTATTTTGGCATGAATACTGTGGAGGAAGTGGGCATAAAGTGCAAAGCTTGACTCTTTGTTATGGAATCTTATTAGAGAATTATTGGTATTTATCTGGAACATGAAAAATGAAATTTGTGTGTGCAATAGAGAATTATTGGAGTGGAAGATTGGCAGGAGTAGAGCTGGCATAAGAGACGCGGTTTGCTATTACGCCTTTTGAAGGAAATGACATCTTAGCTGTTTTTTTATTTATTTATTTATGAGAATTATACGGTTGTAAAAAATAACAATGTCAAATCATTTTAAATCTTTTTTATCTATGTTTGTTTTGTGCTTTTTTTTTTCTCTATTTTGATATGATTTTAGTTAAATGCAATGCTCATATGTATGGTCTTAAGTTTGATGACTGTATAATACGGTAGGTGTAGTATTTTTCACATAAACTTGTAATTTTTGAATGTAATATGGTAATTTTAAAAAAAAATTAAATGTATTATAGTGGTAGATTACATTTTAGCCAGTGTTGTACAACCACATAAATAATATTACATAGATAAACAAAAAATATTTTTTTATGTAGCAAACCAAAAAAAAAATGTTAAGCCAAGCTGGAGACATTTTTAATAATCATACGAAAAATACTAATATTACTTTTCTTAATACTTTTTTTACCACTTTCTATATTTACTGAAACACGCGGACTCCACTAATCTAATGTATTATTATGACTGATTATATATTTTTTTTTCATGTAGATTGACGAATTACAGCACATGATAGTCAAACTTTTTTCTTTTTTTTGACGGAGATAGTCAAACTTTTTTTTTTTAATTGGTTGAAGAAAGGAGAAAAAATGGGATTTGTTGTTGATAACTCCATTTGCTTAAACTAAATCCAAAATTGGGGCTGCCGTGATTGAATGTTGAACAACCTTGAGCTTGGATTTTCTAACTAATTTTTTGCTTAGATAATTTGAGGCTGAGTTGACCACAGTTTCAGTTTTGTAGAAAAATTCTTGGCTACCACATCGCAATCATCGACAAAGTTTTGGACCGACCACCATAACCACACACGGCTTGAGCCGACACGTGTATGCCCTCCGTATCTTCACAAAAATTTTATATGATTTAAAGAGATTTTTATGTACATCTAAGTTAAATTTACTATTAAATTTATATATTTTTTAATTTTTACGTGATTTTATACATATTTAATAAATAAAAAATTTAACACGAATTGAAAAAAATTCTTTAAAATAATAAGAACATAATCTAAGAATCACGGTTGGTATAATAAATATATAAATAATATATAAATAAATTACGTAATTATAAATAAATATACAAATATAAATATTTATTACGTAAGCTCCTAATAAATATATAAATAAATTTGTATAATTAAGATCACGGTTGGTATATAATCTAAGAATCTTTCGAAATCTAGAAATTGCTATTTCCATCCAAAAAATCACAATTGAGGTGATGGCATTAATAAATAAGTGCAAGAATCTTTCCAAATCTAGAAATTACTATTTCCTAACTAATCTAATTAATTAATTAAGAATCTTATGAAACTGTCATGCACGTGACGATACTTAATACATAATACATATGCATGTATTAGTGTTTAGTTATAAAGCTGACTAACAAATTCCAACACACACATATAAATCCGCTACTAATTACGTTTAAATTAAATAATAGATAGCGTGATTTTGTTGAACTTGTAACTTTTTCGAGGAGTGGATATTATATTGTTGGATATATGTACACTGAGTTAAGGGGGATTATTAATAAAAAGATATCTTTTTCATCGTTTTGTCAAAAACATGACTTGTACATGTTTGGTCACACTTTTTCTAAACATATTATGGGGTTGTTCTTTTGAAGTGTAACTTGAACGTAATTTGAGTATAATTTTTGAGTTGAATTTGAGTTATAACTTGAGTTAAAGTTGTAACTTGAATAAAGTTGAGTAAAGTTGAATAAAGTTTGAACTTAAAAAAACGTGAACTTGAATAAAATTATAACTTGAGTTTAAATTTTTTCTGAGTTTTGTTGTAAAAGAACAACCCCTATATTTACAGGGCGTATGTAAATCAGAGAGTCTTGCAATCTTTAAATAATATGTTCGATTTATCTAAAAGGCCTCGTATTTTCAGCATTTTCCCATATATCTTAATCATAATTTTTTTCTTTGTATAATGGAATATTAATAATAGATTAGCAAAGAAAAAAAAATATCAAATATAATATGCATATATTTTATTTGAATTGATTCTTAATCTTAAAAGTAC